GAAGTCAATGGCAAAACTCCATTGACTTTAATAGGGCAAGGATTTTATTCACAGTGTTTTACGAGTAAGCTTTAACGTTAACATGGCCTGAAAGGTAATGGGAGAAATTCATACTTCTCTTCTTCCTAGGCTTTCAGTCAGTGTTCCTGGCTACATCCTCAGTTGAGCCAGATTCTCAGTTTGATTCCCATTTAAAGTGAATGGGGCTTCCACTGAAGTTAACACTGGGGTTTTGACTGAAATATTTCCTTGATTCTAACACTAATGCAGCTCCACTGATGTTAATAGCGGAGCAGCTACTGTGGACAAGACTTCTGGAGTATACTACTATTTTCAGCACTGCAGGGCCAAGACTTTTAAAATTAATTAATGAGTTTAGGTGCCTTATTCGGGTGTGTTTTTGTTTTTTTTTTTATGCCAAACTCGAGACACTTGAAATGGATCTAATTTTCACAAAGTGCTAACTGCCCTCCCTCTGAGCAGCAGGTTGCCAACCTTCCAGGATTGGCATGGAATCTCCCAGAATTGGCATGGATTTCCCGGTGATTAGTGAAAGCAATCTGGGAGATTTTAATAGGATATTTTAAGAAAATGACGTTGCATTATGAGGAAAAAAATCTCCCAAAATAGCTTCAGTCAGATTGGCAACCCTAGCAGCACCTTGAAGGTGTTTTAACTTGGTTAGCCAAAACACTAGTAACTCCTAAAAAATTTAGCTATCCCATCTATATTTGTCAGGGCAGGTCTACATGACAGCGTGATGAACATGCCGGCAGCTGTTGCTGCCTTGCCTAAACCAACATTCCCACCACTGCCACCCCATTAGGGTATAAATGTAGGTTATAAATTAATGCATATAAGACAGAGGGTTGTTAAAAGCAAAATAATTATTTATATGATCTAACTCCAAAGGTAGGGATAGTGTCTTGCAAAACCCAAGATAATAAAATTGTTGGTTTAAAATGCCTGTATTTTATTTCCCCCCACAGATTATGGCAATGTCTACATTAGAAATCTTTATTGGTAGCATTTATGTTGGCTTACAGGGGCAGAGATTGCAGTGTCACTACAGAATGAACTGCCCTGGTTGTCTTTGGTGCCTTGCATCCTCGCTGTCAGAGGGTGTTTTAGTAAAAGATGCTGTGTACCATGCATAGGCATCCCTGTGTCCCCGTGACACTGTCTGGTGCAGTACCTTGTGGGATATTTTTGCAACACATTGTGGGATACCAGCAGTCCTGTCAGGGAATTATGGCAGTTTGGGGTTAAATTTGCACAATTCCCATTGCTCCATCCCATAATCTTCTTTTTGCACCATTTTTGTCCAAATTAACATCTTTATTTCTGCCAGTATTCTGGAGCTGAACTTGCACGGTTTCTTCTCCTCGCAGGAGAAGAAAATATTCAGGACTACTTTCCTGAACTAGGCAGTATCATGAGGTGTACCTGTAGTATTACTAAGGGAGATGTTCTTTGCTCAGGGATTGTTTAGCTGCTGAGAAATTGCTGGGCAAAGTGCAGCGGGATAAGAATTTGGAGGATGAAGAGACTACTTGAACTATGGACTTATTTTTGATATGTTCTTGTCTTTTTTTTTTCTTATTTTAACATAATCGGCCAATTTAAGGTCTGACATTGCTTGCATATACACATGCTGTTTACCTAAGTTTAGCAATGCTGTCAGGAAGCTAAGGAAGGAGGTGATTCTATAAAATGGTGTTGCCCCATTAAGTCTTATTACCATTTTATTTTAGCTCCATTAATTATTATGGATCCTTTAAGGTAGGAGTGGCCAACCTTTGCTTGTATTGCATCATGCACAGCTGTCAGGGTACCAGGGACTCTGGGCTGTAAGTCAGCTATATAGCAGTAGCACCTCTCCAGGTGCCCAGCTACCATTGCTCAGGGTGGTGGAGTTCCTACATAAATGGAAAAATCCCTTCTGTTGCTGTAGTCAGCGTCTACATTACAGGGCTATAGCCATAGCTATGCTGCTGTAGTGTACATGTATCTGTAGCATGTGACCAGCTCCTCACTCCTCCTGCTAGCCTTTGGAGTCCTTACCAATGCGAAGCCAGTCTCTTCTTAGCTTTTCTCAGTGGTCATTCAAGGCATCTGTTTCTAATGAAGCTGAGGGGATGATGCAATTGCCTGGACTGGATTATAGGATCTGTGCACTATACACTGGTGACAAAGTGGGAGGGAGGAGCTTATGTAGGCCAAAGTTAGAGGGGAAACAAAGAATGGGGAATGGGAAGAGAGTGGAAGCACAAGGGGATGTCTGAGGTAACAAGGGGGTGAAGTGTGGAGCACAAATGGGAATTATGCAATTGAGCATTAGGGAGTACTAATGGGTAAGAGATTGGAGAGAGTAGGAATCGGGCAAAATAATCGAGGAAGAGTTTAATTTAAGATGGGGATCTGGAAGCCTGGGGTCTCAAGCACATGAGCATTCTGGTTAAATGTTATTTATTTTTCTCTCCTTTTTCACCTTCAAAGAAGGATAATAGCAGAATGACAATCTAAAATTCACAAGCAGCTCCCAGGCCATCCTGCTCTATAACACCCAGCTTATTTGAAAACTTGTACCATGGATAAAAATTATGTTAGCAATTACATCAAGGGCATCAGGAATCCAGCTGGCAACCTTTAATCTATATAAATGTAAAAATCAGAAAGATGCACATAATTGTTAATTACAGGTTTTAGAGTAACAGCCGTATTAGTCTGTATTTGCAAAAAGAAAAGGAGTACTTGTGGCACCTTAGAGACTAACCAATTTATTTGAGCATAAGCTTTCGTGAGCTACAGCTCACTTCATCGGATGCATACTGTGGAAAATATAAAAGATGTTTTTATACACACAGACCATGAAAAAATGGGTGTTTATCACTACAAAAGGTTTTCTCTCCCCCTACCCCACTCTTTTGCTGTAATAGCTTATCTAAAGTGATCACTGTCCTTACAATGTGTATGATAATCAAGGTGGGCCATTTCCAGCACAAATCCAGGTTTTCTCTCTCCCCCCCCCGCCCCATTGTTAATTGGTTCATAATATTTGTATGTTCCTGTATTTTCCTATTTAGCTAAATAGAAAGTACCTGCTGTTTGAGTTAACAAAAACTAACTAAATCAATTATGGGAAAATAGTACTGGGAGGGGAAAGGGATGGAATAGATTGGAAATTTGAGGAGGGAAATGCTGTCAGGAAGAGCACAAAGAGAGTGGGGACTGAGAAACGTATATGAAAGGGAAAGAAGAGCTCTGTGTAAGCTCCAAAGCTTTTCTCTCTCAGCAACAGAAGTTGGTTCAATAAAAGTTATCTCACCCACCTTCTCGCTCTAATAGCCTGGGGCCTGACATGGCTACAACAGCATGGCACCTAACACATGAAAGGGAAGTGAGAATGAACCTAAAGGAGTAAGGAGAGCCCAAAAAGGGAACAGTAAGAAAATAAAGAAAAACAGGTACTGGAAAAGGGCCATGAAAAGAAAAATGATAATTTAAAAATGCAAAAGACAAGGTGGGTGAGGGAATATCTTTTACTGGACCTACTTCTGTTAGCGCAAGAGACAAGCTTTTGAGCTCTTCTTAAGTTCTGTGGCACTTGAAAGCTCGTCTCTTCCACCGCCAGAAGTTGGTCCAATAAAAGATATTTCTTTATTTCTCCCCTTGTCTTTCTCACAGGCAGGAGCCACCACCCCTACACCAAGACTAGCAATGCAAATCTATTTCGTACTATTCGTAGGTAAGTACAAAACTATAATTCCACCCAGCGTGAAAGGAAGGAGCAAAATAAAATAAACTCAAAAGTGCTGTGCTGGGAAATTAAATGTGAGGTTAGGAGGATGCCCCGCAGCCTGGCAAGGCCCTAGCCACGGTGTAAGTGGGCCCCCAAAGGATCATAATACGTTTCCCCCTTGCTCTGGGCTCCTCGGTGCACAGGTGCTGGAAGCAGGGGGGCTGCTGCCGCACGCCCTGGCTTGAAGTGGTTTCCATTAGATACAGGGTTCACAGTTTAGTGCCGTGGCTCTCAGCGCCCCCCCCTTTAAAAACTGTTCCAGCCCCCCTGCCTCCGGGGCTGCTTTTCCCAACACACTGGGGTGGCTCCAGGGACCCAAACACAAACAGCTGCAACGTGTGAATCTGCTCCCCAGAGTCCCCCTAGGGGGGCCTGGCTGGGCACTGCAGGCGGTGGGGAGGAGTGGGCTGAGGTAGATCAATGGGGCGGGGGACGGGAATGGACCGTGGGGAGCAGGGAGTTGATCTGTGTGTAGCACCATAGGGGCAGCCGTGAACTAACCCCCAGCATTAATTACCCCCTCACGGCCGCGGGGCCTGTGTGAGGGGTTTGGAGGGAGTCACGGGCTGGGGGGCGGGTGGCTCCTCCACCCCCTCGAGGGGAGAGTTGGTTGGTGCGGCCTCTCTCTCGCACTTCATTATAGGGAGGGGGAGGGGAAGGACTATGATGACGGAAACCGCTTCCTAACGGTCAGCTTTTCAAATGCTCCCGCGCGGCCTGCCATGAAACCTACGCTACCCCCTCCCCCACCCGCGGGGGCGGGGCTGCTGGTGGGGAGGGAAGCGCGCGCGGCTGGGAAGGAGGAGACCTATTGGCTCACATCCGCTGGGTTGACGCATTGGCGCAGCCTCAACCCGGTCGCTCCCTCCCGCCTCCTCCTCTTTCCTCGGCGCGAGTTGAGGGCTGCAGAATCTTATTAGTCTACTCTTGATTAGGCCCCGCCTCTCCGCCCGTGGCTTTCGAGGAATTCGATTGGTTCTCCTGGACTTCAGTTACTAACACACTCCCGCCCTCTCTTTTCCTCTTGCGTACGCGCGGTGGAGGTCGCCTAAGCCGATTAGTCCTAGCTGTCGTCAATCACTTACGAAGCCCCGCCCCCTAATGAATGACTCGTTCACGTAGGCTGTTGCGCCTTTCTATTGGCCCAGTTTGCGCCGAGGGCGTGTGCTGCGGCGGCACGGCGGGCGGGGCTCCCAGCGTCCCCTTTGTGTGAGCAGCACCAGTTGCCGGCCGAACGCCTGAGGAGTAGCAGCCGCCATTTTGTGCGTGTCGGTGTGCTCCCCCACCCCCAGGCACCTTTCCTGTGGTACCGGCGGCGGCCAGGTCGCTGCCGAGGCCAGGCCACGCCAAGGAGGAGCCGCGGCGGCAGCTGCTGCTGTCTTGAAGTTGCGGTGCTCGTTGAACGTGGAGAGGCCTGAGCTTCCCCCCAGCAGGAGGAGGAGTCTCGGCGCCAGGCCTAGGCGCAGCCCCGGCGGAGGCGGCAGCATGGAGAATTCGCAGCTGTGCAAGCTGTTCATCGGCGGCCTGAACGTGCAGACCACGGAGGCCGGGCTTCGGGAGCACTTCGAGGCCTACGGCACCCTCACCGACTGCGTGGTCGTGCTCAACCCGCAGACCAAGCGCTCCCGATGCTTCGGATTCGTCACCTACTCGGCTGTGGAGGAGGCCGACGCCGCCATGGCCGCCTCCCCCCACGCCGTGGACGGCAACGCGGTCGAGCTGAAGCGGGCCGTGTCCCGGGAGGACTCGGCCCGGCCGGGGGCCCACGCGAAGGTGAAGAAGCTCTTCGTGGGCGGTCTAAAGGGGGACGTGGGCGAGGGGGACCTGGTGCAGCACTTCAGCCAGTTCGGCCCGGTGGAGAAGGCCGAGATCATCGCCGACAAACAGAGCGGCAAGAAGCGTGGCTTCGGCTTCGTCTATTTCCAGAACCACGACGCCGCGGACAAGGCCGCGGTAGTCAAGTTCCATCCGATCCAGGGCCACCGCGTGGAGGTCAAGAAGGCTGTGCCTAAGGAGGACATCCAGTCGGGCGGAGGAGGTGGTGGCTCCTCTAGGCCTTCTCGGGGCGGCAGGGGAGGAGGACGAGGACGGGGCGGCGGCGGATCCGGCAACCGGGACCACAACGGTCTCTCCAAAGGAGGCGGCGGCTATAATAGCTACGGAGGCTACGGCGGAGGTGGCGGCGGCTACGGATCTTACAGCAGCGGCTCCTATGGAGGAGGTGGCGGAGGCGGAGATTACGGCAACGGGTACGGCGGGTTCGGCAGCTACAGCCAACATCAGTCCTCCTACGGCCCCATGAAGAGCGGCGGAGGAGGCGGAGGAGGGGGCGGCAGCTGGGGAGGGCGCAGTAACAGTGGACCGTACAGAGGAGGCTATGGTGGGGGAGGGTATGGCGGCAGCTCCTTCTAACCGGGGGCGCCCATACCCATTGGGGGTGGCATGGAGAGCCCTCCCTTTGTTACGGGGCAGCTTCTAATGGTTTCTCCCCTCACTCGCCTAAGGGCAGTTCCTAGTAAATGCCTCCCCCGCTGTGGGAGCAGCTCCTAAATGCCCTCTGGGGGTCGCCTCTGCCTGTGCCACTTCTTTCTCTCTGAAGATGGACTGGGCCCCACACACACATACTTTGTGTTACAGTCATTGATGGACTCTATTTTTTTATTATTACTTGGACCTTGGTCGTTTTTATACTAGCAATGAAAATGTCTTGTTTTAATTTGTTTTTTGGGGTGGGGGTGGGCAATGTCTTGCTGATTCTGAAGTAAAAACTGGGGAGGGAGATGGGGGGGGAATTTACTTTGTTGTAAGGACTCGATACCTGGCTACTACATTTTTCCCCTACAAAATCTGCTCGGATCCATGACTGAAATTAACATTTCTGTAAAGGAGGAAAAAAAATCGTTTTTACGTTTTTTATTTTTTAAATAAATCATTGTGTTCATTGACCTTTACATGTCTAACTTTTTTCCTAGGATCCATTCCGTACGGTTTAAGGCTTTTCTGGGTTTGAAACAAGTATTCCTCTGCTTTTAATTCTCTATGTATTTAGAGACTTTATTGCCAGTAAAGGTCCTAATTTACTTTTTTGATGTCCCATTAGTGGATTTATTGGTTTTCAAACACTTTATGGAAACTTTTTGAAGTACTAACTGGTGGATGTGGTCTGTTTTTTAAATATTCATTCTCACTTTTGCAGTTTGTGTGCATCCACCATCTTGTACTAGGCAGTTTGATTGATGTGCTGACATGGTTGGTCAATTTTTTTCTATAGGACTTTTCCATCAAGTATGTACTGTGTAGTTCTAAAGAAATAGTTTGTGTTAAGCATGTGCTTCATTCATATAAAATGTTCAAAATTTCCAATTGCTTAGTTTCAGATCCTCTTATTGGCTTGTCTGTAAATGATTCGTTACAGGAAAGGGTCAACATTTATTCCTTCAATTAAATGCCTACTGGTTTTCATAGTACCAGGTTAAAACAGACTTTTTCACTTGGTCTGAACTATTGTCCTTCGTTAAAGTTCCCCGAGAATCCTTTGCAGCACCATCTCCTGGTAGAATGGCAGAACCACTGCTGTAGGCTTCATTACAACCGAGGCAACGTTGTTTGCTAACAACTCTACTAGATTTTTTTGAAAGTTGTCTTATGCCATTAAATGATCGGTGTAAACTGAAATAAAAATCAAATCTGCATGTGACTAAAGATGGGCTCCCTGCATATTGACTGAAACAAAATGGATTTGAAGTATCTGCTTCAGTACATTTCTAAAACTCTTATAACTGCCCATCCTTCAAAAGAAGTGATAATCTAAACTGTTTGGGCAAAGTGCTATGATAAATGAGCCAGCTAAGTGTACCAGTAACATAGGTGCCAGTTGTAAAGCAAAATATCTGTGTAGTCTGCTTGATTAACAAATGTATATTTGTAGCCCTTTCACGCAATAGAATTAAAGTTTGTTGTTTATTTGAAAAAAAAATAAAAAGCATAATGTTATAGGGGAAAACTGCCTTCCTGGATAGAAATATAGAATAGCATCGTTTATGGGTTTATGGATATCACAAATAAAGAATTGAATTCCTTACATGCTTGAGTGAGAGTATGTATGACATGGGGCATGGATTTAAAAAAAAATTGTAAAATCACTTTGATTCCAGGTTTCTAAGCATGTAATGTTTAACACTTAACCATATTGCCTTCTATCACTGCATTCTATGGATTTGATCCTACTTCCATTGAAGGCTGGCAAAACTTCCATTGTCTTAAGTGGAAGTGGTATCACGCTCTAAAAATCCATGAAAACTGCACTAGTATAAAGTGTAATTTTCAAATCTCTTTAAAAAAACAATTTAAAAGACTTTGTGGACACGGATTTCAGTTGAAATTGGTCTTGTTTTGATTTAGCATAGCTGAATTATAATAAACGTGATTTCAAATAAAATCAGTGTCCCTCAGTCTTCAGTTTAAGTAGATTAACTTAGATGTGACTTTTTAAAAAACAAACAAACAAAAACCCAACTGGTACAACTTTCTCTTGTAGACAAAGCCCTAAGGATCTGGAGTGGAATTGACCTCTCAAAATGGAGGCCTTTCTAGGCCTTTTGATCAGTAACTATAATTTAGAGCTCTTAAACTGTGAAAATTTCTTTCAGGCCTTTTTGCTTTGTAAGTGGGTGTTAAGTAATCTGGCTTGCAATTATAATGCATATTTGCATCCAGAAATTCATATCTGTCCTGAACCAGCTAAGTAGTTTAGGCAAAGTGCAGAAGTCAAGTGTAAGTTATGTTTAACAAGCTTTTGCAGAATACCGTATTGCATTTAATTAGCTTCACCAACTGTCCTTGTCAACGAAGACCTTTGGTTGTTTGCTTTTATCTGAGATCTTTAAATTTTAAAGGCTGCTTTTACCTCTTCTACACTCTAGAAACATGCTGAGGTTGGAGGGATGGACCACCCACATAAAAGCACAGTTGTCCCTAGTGCAGTTCAAACAAGTAAGCATTGAATTCCAGTTTGGTTTGGGGAGACAGTTAAATCAGGTTCAGTCCTGCCCCTTGCAAAGTTGCCTTGTTTTAATGATAGGGAGAACCTTGTTTTGGAAGACCCAATTAAAACTGTTTTTGGATTCTAGACTGGTCCCTTGAGTCAGCTAGGCAAGTGCCACATACAATTCTGTAATTTTACAGTATACCTACATATCTTGTGTGGCAACTCGTTCATACCAAAAACACATGCTATGTTGGAAATTACTATTTGGTTATGCAGTAGTATCCTTCCTCTGGCATTTACCACTACATGATTCTAAGGAAGGTGAACCCCAGAAATGGCACCTATACTATGAGGGAGATGCTTGATTTGTTGTTTACTGCTTATGTCCGGAAGGATTATAAATAATTACAACTTCATATTAATGTTTCACAGCTTCTGGTACAATTTGTTGTGTGGAGAATGTTTCAAATAGATTATAGTTGCTCTGTTGTGGCTGCTTCTCTAGAGAACAGAAACACTCCGTTGTGAAGGAACATGTCTTGGAGACTCAGGTGCTTTCCAAGAGTACCCTATTGGATATAAAAACTGGTCAAAACATGTGTATTAAAAGGACACCAGTTTAAATCTCACATCTGTGAAAATATTTCACCTGCTATTGATACAAGTAACTCCTAAGGATTAATTGGGGGAGAAATATTTTTATTTGGTGCATTTGATGACACTTTTTCTCTAGTTAGTTTTTGTTTCTCTTGTGGGCATGTCTGCCCAGGGAAGTTAAATGAAAGGTAAGCTGAATTAACAAAAGATGTGATGTTAAAGTGTAGAGTATGATACCCTCATTCTGAAGTAAAATGGCCTTAGTTTGCTGTAGTTTAATATTAGATTAAGTGTTAAATTACATTAAAAACTTTTAAATTTTGTGGTTTAAGCATTTTTGTTGGATACAAATAGACAACATTGTACATGAGAAAGTGAAACCAGCTAGTCTGCTTTCCAAACTGAATAAAGTACAAAAAGTAAAAGGCATAATTTAGTTTAACTGTTTTCATCTTTATAATCTAAGGAATTGGTAAGGGATTTTTGTTGTAAAATGGGTTGCTTTAACTTTAACAAAGGGATTTTTGATGGTGAAGAGTATCAACACACTTATCTAACAGCACTTGACCCATTAACTTAAAAATTTGAGTGATTTATTACTTGTCTCATTTAAAGCCTGGTGTAGAACCATTTTTAATAGTGACAACTTGTGCATTTAAAAAACCCACTGAACACCTGCATATATAATATATAATTCCTACCCATTACTGTCATGAAAACAAACTGTTTATTTTCTCTTGCATGTAAGGTGACAGGCAGTTCAGAAGAGTGATTTTTCAAATGTTAACTAACATTGCTGACGCACCTCACTCAGATTACTTTAAAAATTCTGTAGGTCACTGATCTGTTACAGATGTGATACAAAGTACATATTTTAAAAATGAAATGTCTTCCTTCTCCTTCCCCTACCCGTTTAGTATGTTTAATTGGACAGGGCTCATGTGCGTGCTAGGGTCAGTGCACACACAGTAGCCATCGTGTAACATTTTAGGTTTGCTCTATGTTCATCTAATACTGTCCTAAATGATTTCAGCTGCAGTGCTCTAGGTAAGTACCTCACACTATCCAACTCTGCTTCCAGAAACAGTGTATTCTGGGAAGTGACACAAATATGCACTGTGGAACAATAGTAAGATGACTAGTTGAACTGTTTCAGCTAGTCTGTGCCTACACTAGCACTAAAATGAGGCTGAAATGATATTTAACCTCCAGAAACAGTCCATTCCAAATGGTATTTACCTTCATCCCACACCCCTGATTTGGAGCACCACTGTGTGGCTGCAAGGTGTTTTTATAATTATTAGGTCTTAGAATAGCACATTTCTTTAGTGTAGCCTTAGGTAAGTGCACTGATTGATCATCCCTGTCTTTGCAACTATCTGTTGGTATCATTGTCACACTATAATTGCATTTCTGTTGCTACACAAGGGCCTGATATTGGGTGTACTGAGGATCCTACCTCCCCTTGAAGTCTAGAAACTCGGAGATCTTGTTCCTAAATATATAACAATAGGTTTTCCAAGCTGCAATTGTTTGCTTTAAACTTTTCTGGTTTTGAAAAAATAATACACTTCAAAAGACACTTTATGAAATTATGGTGCTCTATTGTGTGTGCATGGTGGGGAGAAACAGGTGTTCATTATGGCAATCTGGTCAAACGCAACATTTGCTTCACTTATGAGTGAGCTGGTACCCATTTGAGTTTTCTCAAGGCAGTGTCCATTCTCTGATGTTTTTGACAGACGTTTATCACTGAATAGATTTCGTGTGGTATAATTTGCTCTGGAACCTTAAGGGATGAAGATTTTCTCAAATATGAAAAATTAATCTTAGTGAAAGTTAAATGAATTAAGTGACATTTTGTGTTTATATAAAGTAAGTTCCCTGGGTCAACATAATCTTTTTGGCTGAAAATTTACACCCAAAAACTGAAGTTTCTTTCCCTAACTACAACTAGAGTTTACAAAGTGACATGGGTTAACTGACCTTCCTTCATGGTTCCTTCTATTAACTGCTGTATAACTCTTTTAAATAGTTAACTTAAGAGGAGGTGCCTACTTGTACATTTTGTGTTTAAAATGAATAAAAGCACATTTACATCTTCATGCTTGCTTTAAAATGCAATATGATACATAATGGAGTTAAAAGCCCACCTAATGACCATTTGTGAGTTTTATATTTACAGCATTTAGTAATTACTCTTTAAAACACTCCGAAAAATGTGCTTACCTGTAATAGCTATGCATATATTGATTACAATAGTGTTATGTCTACTACTAATTGCATCCTATCCCCTTTTTGGCATGGGTGTATATTTATGTGAGGAAATGAAAGGCTGTAGCAAAGTGTGTTCTTTGCTGAG